TTCAAAGAAAAAGCTACCGGAATTTTTTGAATAACAGGCAAAGCAAAAACAAAACAAAAAATGCTAGCTTCATTCTCAGAAGTAGCCGAACCATTTTGGATGAAATTATCTAGAACAATTCAGTGAGAGAAAAACACGTAACACAGAAAATTTCAAGCCAAATAGTTAAAGTTCGCAAAGTTTTCCACTACAGATTTAGGTCAATGTAAGGGGGCTTATGTCAATCTAATTATGTCAGTGTACACATTATAGCCTGGCTTCCACTGAGATAAGTGCCCTATTATACCAACCTAACAACTAGGGATGTTAAGGACTAGTCAACTATCTGATAAGCAAGTGCTTATCAGATAATCAACAAGATAGTCTACTAGTTGCTTCTTCAACTCCCCCCTTGCTGCCTATCACAGGGGTGGACAAAAAGGCCTTTGTGGGCCTGGGGATGGGGGAGTGTGGGAAGTCTCCCAGCCAGGGGCATGGGCACCTAAGGGGAGGGGGGGGGGGCAGATCAGCAAAGACACTCCCCCACCCCAGACCCTTCATGGTCTGGGGGTGGGGAACCCGGAAGTATTGTGGTCCTGCCCCTTCCGCTTGAGACACTGCCCATTCCGGAATGGCCCAGGCCACTTCAGAAGTTTTTAGGTGGCCCTTGGCAAAAATGTATTGTCCACCCCTGCTCTACCAGATAGAGGCAGCAAGCGGGAGGGGGGGAGAAATGGGGGTACTTCAAAGCGGCAACGCCATAGGCAGCCCAGAGTCAGCTGGACTTCCCAGCTAACCCCCAGGCTCTGTGCTACGCTAAGCCCGGGATCAGCTATGTGGCACTGCCCCTTTGAAATGCCATGGTGGCATTTCAAAGGGGCAGCGCCGCACTATCAGCTAATCAAATAGTTGTTGCAAAAATGTATCGACCATTCAATTAGTGAAATGCATGGTACTTAACATCCTTACTTATAACAAGAGACACCAGTGTAGTTAGGAAAATGTAGCACCTGTGTAGATACTGCGGGTAACTTGTATTGATTCTAAGCTATCATTCTTGTCAAGTTCCACGCTGGGGCGATGAAATTGACAAGAAAGTAGCTCACAGCTTAGGCTGTTACCCTCAGTGAGTGGGGTATTCCAACTAGAGCCCAGCTGCCTCCTGCTAGGCACTTTGGTTTCAGCCAGGCTGCTGCCCAGGTTCCCTGTTCTTACCCCATGCCACCACCCTAACATCCCTAATGTATACCTCAAGCAAACCACACATACACAAACAAAAACACACAAACACCCAGTAAGAGGACTAAAAAAATGTCATCATGTCTAAACAACTGGCAAAAAGTATCTTTAAGTGGAAGTCAAATCCTACTAAATAAAATTTAAAAAGTGCGTAAACTCTGACAGATCAAGTGTAATCGTATAATTAGGCAGACAAAAAGAATTCAAAGAACAACTACCAAAAGAAAAAAAAAACTATGTATTTTTGTGTAAGTACATGAGAGCCAGGAGGACTGCTAAAAGTTCAGTGTGGCAATTGGCCAGTAGATGATAGAAGTGCTAAAGTAACACTGAAGGAAAACAAGCTGTTGCAGAGACCTTAAAGCAGTGGTTCTCAAAATTTATTTTTTGCAGACCATTTGAAAATTGCTGTAGGTCTCAGAGGACCACTTAATGATCTTTCCAAATGTTGTTTGTACCAGCTAACTATTGTAATGCACTCTAGATAAAATCGCTATTTATAAATACTCCTTAATAATAATTAACCCTTTTTGTTCACATAACTCATTTTAATTACGGATGTAAGCGAGTAGTCAAGTAGTCGACTTATCAGGTAGTTGAATCAACTACTCGCTTCTCCCTTTCCCTTATTGCCTCTGTATTAGAGGCAGCAAATGGGGGAAGTGCAGGAATCTGTACTGTGGGAAGCTGGCTTAAAAGCCAGTTCCCCCAGCATCGCTGCTTCTTCCCCAGCCCCTCCCCCTCACAATGCAGTGAAGCAACAGGAGAGACAGCACAGCAAAGGGGTACAGAGACAGCAGCACCTGCTGAGACATTAGCACGAGGTGGGGGTGGCAAGGGAGGCTGCCACGAAGCAGCCCGTCTGCGACGACCCAGGCTAACTGTGGACGGAGGCTGCTCCGGCAGCAGCCCCTGTCTGCAGGAGATCCTTAGCCCCCGCCCTGGATCCACTGCAGATAGGGGCTGCTGGACCCCAGGTGAACAGGGACTGAGCCGGGCTTGCTCAGTCCCAGCTCATGCCGGGTCCGGGACTTACATCTGCTGCACTACTGCAGTTTAAATGTAGTAGGAGCTCGGCTGCTTGCATGCCCAGCTCTTCCTACATTTAAATTGCAAATTTGCAGCGGTGGTAGCTCCTGGACCAAACCAGAGCCAGGACTGAGCTGGGTTTAATTAGTCCCAGTTTGTGCTGGTTCTGGGACTTTCCCCAGCTGTGGCTCTGTAGTTTAAATGTAGCAGGAGCCAGGCTGCCTGCACACTTGTCTCTTGCTACATTTAAACTGCAGAGCCACAGCTGGGGTTGCTCCTAGACACAGCACGAGCTGGGACTGAGTAAGTGTTCCCTTATTGACTAACCCAGTAGTTGATAAAAATTTTACCCACGTCTTAACATTCTTAATTTTAATATTAGTAGTCTTACTTTTAATGTGATGCATGTGCTTGTTTTTGTGGATACCAATTTAAATAAATATACATTTTGCTTCTGGATTAAATGTATACATTTATAGTTCTACAGCCAATGCGATTAAAATACGATTATTCTATATTTGTTGTCTTTAAAAGTCACATTTTTATTGCCAATAAGGGTTGTTAATGGTTAACCCATAAGCCTCACCCTTAATGAGCAAGGCTTAGCAGTTATGGTTAATTGGTGGGAGCTGAAGCACCTCTCCCCCCACATTTAACTAGTTAATTAGTTAAATGGGATTTTTACAACCTAATTGCCACATAGTGTTGAATCTAGATTTATACACAGTGGCAGCAACAATTCCATCGATATTACATATTGGCAAATATAAACTAAGGATGTTAAGGTGTAGTCGACTAGTTGACTCTCCAATAAGCAAATAGAGGCAGCAAAGGGGGTGGGGGAGGAAGGAGGATAATTCAAAGCAGCAGCACTGCACAGAGCCCAGGGTCAGCTGGGACTCCCTAGCTGACCCAGGCTCCATGTGACATTTCTGCAGAACCCCAGAGTCAGCTGGGGACTCCCCAGCTGATCCCAGGCTCCATGTGATGCTGCCGCTTTGAAATGTTGCGCAGCTGACCCCATCTTTGCGTGGCATTTCAAAGCAGCAGCGCAGCATGGAGCCAGGGATCAGCAGGGGATTCTGATGCCCCGCTAACCTTAGGCTCCATGCGGGCACTTCCACTTTGAAATGCACAAGAGCCCCTACCGGGGCTCTTGTGCATTTCAAAGTAGGAATGCTGAAGTGCCTATCAACAAGTCAAGTAGTTGATGGAAATTCCATTGACTACTCGACTAGTAAATTAATCGATATTTAATATCCTTAATATAAACAAATAACTTTCTGCTTTGAAGGTAGTGATCTATATTTTAAGCAGATCATAAAAACAACAGAATTCTGGAACACTGCCATAAGTGTTTGACACACAACAAGTTTTTAATTAAAAGCATATACCATATGAAATGCATGCATACAGCTTAGAATATCATATTGAATATAGGTATAGAAACCATATTTTTGAGTTGTCAGGAACTCCCAACTGAAACTCTAAAGGCTATCTCCTCTTTCCAAATGATCATTTAGTAAGTTCAGTTTCCATATACATTTTATTTTCTTATCTTGGTGCACTGTTTAACTCCAGTTTACCACAAAATATAGTTCTAAAAACATTTAAACCCATATTTTCATCCATGGCTTTGTCTACTCTGCAACTTTTATTGTCAAAACCTGCCTTCTGGCGACAAAACTGTGAGAGCATATACACTGCAATGGGACTTTTGTCAAGAAAAATGCCCAATTTTGGTGACAAAAAACTTCCACCCCTAGGAGAGACTTTTTCCTTTTCCCCTTCCTTTATTGTCGACAAAGACCCAGTGTGGACTCTGCTGTTTGTTTTGTGGACAGAACTGCCTTTGGACAGTATCCCATAACGCCTGCACTGATGGCTGCGCTCAGCTTTGATCACTGTTGCCCTGCAGGCATCCGCCTCTCCTATTTCAAAACTCCAGGAAGTATCTGACAGCTGAGTGAGCTGCTCCATTTGGGGAACAAACCAAGAGCAAATCATTGGATTGCTCCTGTTCTTCCCTGCACTAGGAACACAGCAGCAGGCAAACTGCTGCTGCAGTGGGAGGAGGACAGATTGCTGTGTTGTTTTGACAATCCTTAGCTGGGAAAGCTCACAGAGCTATTCATAATGCCACTCCTGGCAGCGGAAGCGACTGTGGGAGAACTGAGGGGGAATCCCAAGATGTTCAGGGATCAACTCTGCCTTCCCACAACATGACACTGTGAAATATATACCCACAGTGCATTGCTCACATTGTCAATGATCGTGCTCACAGTATGGATGTGATCTGTCAACAGAAGGAATAAATGCGCACACCCTCTAACCATTTTTGGTGTTTTAATTTTTGGAAGTTAACAATTTCGGTGACAAAACTTGGCAGTGTAGACACATCCTAAGTCAGGCAAGAAAGGTGCTCAAGTACCTTTTCCTCCCAGAGGAGTTAAAGTTTACTGCTTCTACAAATTGCTCCTTATTCTAACAAAGACTGCAAAGTCTCCTTGGAACTTTCTAATGTCCATGTCAGTAGTTCATGGTATTTTATAGTATTTATACCTTATTCAAAGAGGATTTTTTAAAATTTGTAAATATACAGCTTTTAATTATGTTTTTCTTGACTGTTATAAAAGTTTAATAGATGACCTACAGGTACTCCTGAATGACCTTCATATGTACTCCATGACTCTTATTCTAACCACATTAATAAATCAAGTGTGTCATTTTAAGTTTCCATGGTCTTGCGGCTACTGACAAAAGCTTCCATTAAATTCAAGAGCAGAATTACATAGAGAACTCCTATGTTACTGTACGAACAGCTCCAAGATTTACAGTATGATTTTCAAGAATCATAGGGAGCACAACATGTATGGAAAATATGGTAATAATTTGTCAAGATATAGATGGCTAGTTTCATTCTATTTAAACATGTAACTTTTCATTTGCAAGAGGAAGAAGAAAGTGAGCAAGCCGAAAGGAATGGGGAAAGTCCAGCAGTATGTTTAAACAATGTTGCTTTTCTTTCTGAGATGAACAAAGCAAGAATTATGACAAGTTCTTTTTCCAGAATCTTCTACTGAAAAAAAAATCTATTTACATATGATCTTTGGCTCTACAATGCCCAACATGTTATGGCATGTATGCCACATCTGGTACAATGTTAATAAATCTCTCAAAAGAAGTATTTTATCATGTCATCATCCATATATAAAAATACAATGTGGAGGTCCACTATGAATAGCTTTCATTTTTATATCATTACCAAAGATACCATCCCCATTAGTTTACTTTTTCTTATAACCCTAACAATGGGAGCTGCAATTTTCATTTTTCCCTGATAATATATCGAGTGAAAAGTAGTGGTTTTAGCATAGTAGTAAGAGTGAAAAATTACTGCATTCCAATCTTCCTTCTAACAGCTTTTGTGGCCTTGGGCAAGTCACTTATTAGTTTCCTTGCTTGTTTTCTAGTCTGTAAAATAAGGAGGCATAAACCATGTACATGCCTCACTTTAAGGATCAAGGACTGCATAGTAAAATAAAACTAAATCATAATCATTTTGGAGAGTAGTTTAAAAATAATACGAATAGAGGTATCTTGTATGTTTATAAGAAAAAAGGGACAGTGAAATATAGGTAGTTAAACAGAGAAAGGATGAATTTTAAATAGTTGTTTAAATAGAAAGCCTGCAAACATTATAAAAGTGCCATATAAGCTGTAAACTATAACAGATTGTTTAAAAAAACGGACACAGAAAAATTCCACAAAAACCCTTGATGTGCTAAAGATGCTATTCTAAAAAGGTTAAAAAAAACCAAAACAACCTTGCAGATGCCCCAGCCAGAGCAAAGCCTTTGGGGCTTGCCCAGCTGTGGCCACCCCTTCCTCCCTTTTCTCCTCATGCTGGGAAGGAGTTCTGGTGCTTGCGCCGATGTGGACACCTCTTCCTCCCTAAAGGTACCCCATGCAGGGAAGAGGCTGGAGGGTGGGATTCTCTTCCCTCCCACTCCTGCAAGGTATTTCCACACTTCCCTCCAGTCCCACTTGCCCCCTTAATTGTTAAGGCTCCAGTCTGCCAGAAGCTGTTCCCTGCTGCAGCCAGCCTATTCAGGGAAGGGGCAGGGGGGCGGGGAGAGAATCTGGCCCCACTGCCGCCTCCTCTTCTTCCTCAAAGTTGCCCCATGCAGGGAACTAGCTCAGGAGCTTCCCTTTCCTCCCACTCTGGGACCAGATCCCCTCCCTCCTTCTCTCTCCTCTGGTCCTGCACACCTGCTCACAGTAAAAGGAGTTTTGCTGACAGCCTTTGCAGCCACCTGAGCCTGGGAAGCAGCTCCAGCATTTTTTTTCCACTGCCGCCTAATGGAATGCCATAGGGCTCCAGCATCTGGAGCCTCTCCCTCTCACCAGATCTCCTGTGTGCGCCTCTTCCACATGCAGGAGAGGACCCGGAAGTATTCAGCCATGCTTCGGGGGAGGTTGGGTCACGTTTTTAAAGTGGCTCCAGGGATCCCCCACAGCATTTCATGGCTGCAGGACCCCCCAAAGACCAAATTAAATTGTTTGGCAAGCTGCATCCACCCCGTGGGCGGGGGGTTCCCCCACTCTTAGCATTAGCCAATCTGTTATTCAAGAGAGCTTGGAAGAAATGTATCCTGACAGCAGATGGTTCTATGATCACGACTACAGCATTTCTTGCACCTCTCTCTGAAGCATCTAGTACTGGCCACAATAGGAAATTCTACTAAACAAATCACTGATTTCATCCAGTATATCAATTCTTATGTTAAAGAACCAATTATCTGATCTCTTCTCAAGGTGGAAGTTGTGCCTATACCTCTTTTTCTCTGATTAAATGGGAAGGGAATCCTCAAAACATAAGATTACAGTTCAGAGTGGTTGAAAAGCAGGTCATATGTCCACTTCCTAATGTTTAACATAGGTGTATCTCCATATGAGTCTCTCATAGAACCGGAAGGGATCTTGAGGGGTCATTGAGTCCAGTCCTCTGCCCTCACAGCAGCACCAAGTACCATCCCTGACAGATTTGCCCCAGATGGCCCCCTCAAGGATTGAACTCACAACCCTGGGTTTAGCAAGCCAATGCTCAAACTACTGAGCTATCCCTCCCCTGTACTCATGGACAACCTGTGGCCCAAGTGCAACATTCAGCCAATTAAGGTTCTACGTGTGGCCTGAGACACATTGTTTTGGTTGCTCATGTGCAGGGTTACCAGCAGGGCTCAACAAATCCACTCATCTACTCATCCGTGGCGAGTAGATTTCAGCCAGTCGCCCCATTCACTGGAGGTCCATGCATGCACATTGCGGGTCTCACGCATGGTTTTCGCCACAATCATCGAGCCCCGGTTATCAGATTCTGCTGGTTTGTCATTTTTTTTCCTACTGGTATTACTACTGTGACATGCACATAAAGCAAGGGCAGGTAAAGTGAGGTGATTGCTGATTGTATACAACATTGACTGTAAGAGCCGTGCGCTCCTTCTGCATCCAATCCAAGTGCTGTCATGGTTCAATTAGCACTTCCTGCAAATTTGAGGTATGCAAGTACAATTAGCAAAACAACCTTTTCCCAGGAGACTGTTTTGGTTACAAAAGTCGTGGCCAACTGAGATGAAGGAAGGTCCACTCATGTGGCCCACTCATTAACCTAAGCTGCTCATTAGCCTAGGCTGCCCATTGCTGGTTTAACACATTTGAACCACAGAAGTCTAAAGATAATATTTTTAGAATCATTTTCCATAAAAGAACTATATTGTCTACCAGAGAGCTAGGTAGAAAACCAAAAACCTTAATACATATCCTGTATCAACAGATTCAGAACTTTACATTGCTACATGACTACCTACCATATGCCGATTTGCCTTAGTGTCAAAAAGGCTATGTGGTACAATGGATTCGGTTACCAGACCTTTAGTTTCAGAAAATTTGTATTAAATTCCAGCTTGAGGCATTTATGAAATGAGTTTCATTAACATTAGTTTCTAGTTGACACTTATACAAAATCACAACATTCCATATACAAGATACATTATTTTTATTGCTACCAGTCAAGAGAAAAGTCCAATAAAAACATAAAGATAACAGAAAAGAAAAACAGAAAAATACTATGAATCAGTCACCCAAGAAGGAAAATGATGATGATAAGATCCCTTTGGAGAACATATATAACAATATTCATTTTAATTCACTAGCCCATCCAATCTATTAATATTACTTGATTTGAAAAAGCAATGTACAGGGCTTGCCAAGCGGCAGTGAGCCTCGCTCGCCAGCTGCGCGGTTCTGCAAGCTGCGCATGAGCAGATCGCACGGCGCTGGCTGTGCCAGCTTGTAATCTACTTGCCACAGGCGAGTAGATTACACGATTTGTCGAGTCTGGCAACGTACATACCATAATCTTCCTCTTCCATTCCAACAGGTCCAGGCTGAGGAGTCTCTCCATTCTTTAGACAGTTATGAATATATGCAGCCTTCCATCTGGCATACTTTCTGTGTTGAACATTCTGGGGAGGTTAAAAAAAAAAAAAGTCAAAACCTACCGTAAGTTAATTTTTGTGATTTTATAGATTAAGAAAACACACTGATCTTCAACCTACTATTTTAAGCAGGATTTACATTTTCCACTCCTCCTTCCAAATGAAGAAAAAAGTTATAACTTTCTCTGCAAATACCCAATACCACTAGAAACAATTTATTCAGGTGAGTAAACCAGGGAACTAATAAAGACAAACATTTAAAGGGATCTCAGCAAGAGGTGAAAATATGGGAAGTCTTCAATTAATGCAATACCTCCAGTAAGGGGTAAAACAGACACCCTAGTCACTTAGTATATTGGGCAGCTCGTTAGGTACTAAAAAATTATAGTTTTTTGTAACTGTCCGTATGGTAAAGAAATAAAGTAAATACTTTGATAATTTCAGAAGATCATTAGCTAAAATTTCACATTTCTAAGAAATTCAACCAATTCATCTCTAACCAAAAATATTGGAATTTTTATAAGATAGAAAATTTTACATAGAGCTTTAAATTATGCCTGTATAAAAGAGGCTATGTCTAGAAGCTCTGGTGACATCAGAAAGGCACTCTAAAGTTTACTTTAGCATCTTATAATGGAGCTAAAATCAACAGATGGAAGAGCAGCTTTGATATAGATAGCTGATTATCTTTTATAAACTCTGCGCATAAAAACAAACGACAAAATTGACTTTATAAGATAATGGCAAACTACTTTCAATCACTACAGGAAAAGAGTACCATGTATTTAACGAATATTAGTATCTTCAAAAAGAGTTTCAATAAATATTTTCCCCAAAATTAACATTGGAATCATTAAAGTAATATAAGGGTTTTAATTTTCTTTAAAAATAATGCTTCTTTTTAATTTAGCTTAAATGGGTTTGACCTTAGCTTTTGAAAAAATGGGATCAGAATAACCTACAGAAAAGACAAGGAGCTCTCACTTATCACTTTTACTGTTCAATAACTGAATTGCCTGCATGGCCAAAATAAACAATAGGAACCAAAATACCTTCAAATCTAAGTGACCAAGTCAAATCAGTACAAAAGGGTGCAATTTTTCAGTATTAAGTGGAGGTTAGAACTTGGGAAAATGATCTATATACAGTAAACTTCCGATAATCCGGCACCTTTAGGACCCGGGGGTGCTGGATTATCAGATATGCCAGACTATCGGAAGGGGGGGGCTATGAGGGCTCTGGGGTGGGGTGGATGCCCCCCCAGAACCCTCATAGCCCCCCCTTCTGATAGTCCGGATCTGCCCCAGGCGTCCTTGATTCAGCCGCTGCTGGTCAGTTTCAGCAGCGGCTGAATCAGGACGCCTGCAGCAGAGCAGCTGGGGTGCTGCCGGGTTGGTTCGGTAGCGCCACCCCTTGGCGCCGCGGGACCAAACTGGCAGCACCCCAGCTGCTCTGCCCCAGGCGTCCCCAAGTCAGCCACCGCTGAAACTGATCAGCGGAAGCCAGAGGCAGAGCTGCTCTGTCCCCGGCTTCCCCGATTCAGCCGCTGGTCAGTTTTAGCAGCAGCTGAATCGGGGAAGCTGGGGGCAGAGTAGCTCCAATGGTCCGGCTGCCCGGAGCACTTCCGGGTTCCTGATGGTGCCGGACCATCAGATGCCGGACCATCGGAGTTTTACTGTATATTTCTTGTAGCTTTCAGAACTGAACATATGTGATAAAATGAAAAGTATCTGGACTGTTTTATTTCCCCTTGGACAGATGCAATAGATTTTAAATTACCAAAAAAAACCCCAAACAATACCCATCCTGCCCCAAAAAAAGATGACTTTCCATTTACCAGGGAAGTTTTTGTTGGTTAGAAAAGAAAAATCAGTTATATAAACTCACTTACTTAAGGTGGGTGAAATTTTGTTAGGAATGGACTACTCTCACAGATATGAGATTACCTATTTTGGTGAACTAGACTGGATCTATGTGCACATGTAAAGGAGGAGTGCAAGGATTACTGGAGTAACTCTGCCAATCCAGTAAATCAGAATTTGGGTTTGGAAACCATCCTTTTTATTCTGCTCTACATTTCACCGTACCTTTGGAGCAAGATTTCCATTGATGATCAAACCATACTGACAAGGTGTTGCTGGTCAGTATAATCAGAGACTAGAGAAAAAACTAGTATAAGGTACTTGATCTCTCAAGTTTTTCTTCTGACAATCATAGGGCTATAAATGTCTAGGGCAGACAGATTATTCACAATACATGTCTTTTAATCTATGCCTTATGGTCCTTCCTGAGGTTTTCATTCATGGTTCTGGGGAAGTGAAAGATCCAAAGCTGTATTTTGTAAAATTCATAGCACCATTAGTTGTGAAATAGTCAGACATCAGTGACAAAACTGGATAAATGCTTTTCATATTTTAGCTGGTCTTTGTCCAATTGGGTGCTAGAATGTGTCAGATGTAGGCTGTCAACTAATCTAACCTACAGAAAATACCATACTGTGAATATGGACTTATTTAAGAATGCATACTGTAGTGTTTTATCCATGTCTGACCCAGGATATTAGAGACACAAGGTGGGTGAGGTAGTTTCTTTCATTGGACCTACTTCTGTTGATGAGAGTCACAAACTTTTGAGTTGACACAATAGCCTTCTTCGGGTCTGGGAAAGTCTTCAGCATAACTATGAAAAATCCATACCCTTGAGCAATGTACTGCAGTTATACCAACCATAACCCAATGCTCAAGATGGTGTCATGTTAGTGGAAGAGTTTCTGACATAGCTACTACCTCTCTCAGAGATGGAATTATTTTTGACTTAGAGCATCTTCACCAGATTTTACAGGTGCAGCTGCCCTAATATACATTTGTAATGTACATATGTTCAAACTAAAGAGTGTCACAGCTAAATAAAAGATTGAAGAAATAGTGTAGCATAAGTAGTTAGCACATATTTTAAGGGGCCATTCAAGGAGAAGTTGCCCATTATTAACCTTACTGTCATAGGACAAAAAGGTATTTTTTTCCACAAATGCTACTAAAACCACATATCCATCTAATGCTGAGACACCAAGTGTTTTAACATTTTAGCATCTTATTTTGATCTTCCAGGTACTCTAAAATGTTTTTGACTAGATCTGAAATTCTGCATGAGATGATCTGCAGTGCCTTTCCTATTATCTTATGGTCCAAAGATTTCAACATTTCTATCATACTTTTCCATCGGGACTCTAATTTAGTTTCAGAAATCACTTCTTCTATTTCTTTATTAGGAAATAAAACTGAACATGAAACACCTCACTTAGACTCGATCTACTCTTGTATATCCCAGTCTAAATCTCCTGCTGCAAGAGTAAGCAAGAACAGCTGACTGTTTCACTGGCAGGCAGCGTTCTCTCTAAATTTTTTCTGTCCATGTGCAAAAGGAATTTTATTATGTACACCAATATGGAGGACATGTGTTATACCTCACCTCCATATTGGTGCACATAAAATTCATTCCACACATTAGCAATGTGTAGTAGAAGTGGAGCCAAGGGGTTCAGTGTGTGGAAAAGGACTTGGGGTTGGGGCAGAGGATTGGAGTGGGGGCTGGGACTCTAGCTATGGGTGTGGGTTCTAGGGTGGAGTTAAGGATGAGGGGTTTGACGTACAGGTTTGTCAAGGGAGAGAAGACTACCCCCAGCCCTCTCTCACTGCAGCAGCTCAGGACCAATAGAGAGGCACCTCTCCACAGATGTGGCAGCTTCTGAGGTGCAGGGCTGGGCCAGTCCAGGCCAGGCAAGGGGCGTCATTCCAAAGCCGCTACTCCAAGGCCTGGCAGGTCCAGGCTAGATACCTCTCCCCAATGCGTAAGATAGGGAAGGTTGAGGCAAGCAGGTAGAGGACCTTCTCCTCATCATTGCAGGTCCATGCTGGGGGAAAGACATCCCCCCTGTGGCAGCCCTGAGTCCCTGTGTGAGACTTAATAGGCCATGAAGCTTAGGGGGAATTTAGTTGGCAGACACCCTTTCTTTAAAATAATACTAGTGGCTGTTTTTTTTTTTTTTAATAGCAGGTATTATGTTCAGTCAGTTCTGAAGAAATCTGCTGTAAAAAGCTGCAATAATGAAGTCTACTTCAGTTACTTTTAAATTTTAGTAAGGATGTTAGATAATGTGTAGATGAATAGTCATGTAATCACATTAAATCTTAGCAGCTACACAACTACTGGATAGTCTGCAGGGGTTGGGCTGGTAGCTGGTGCGCTCCCAGCCCCACTCCCAGGGAGCCCCTTGCCATCCTGCGCTGCCACCTCTGTATCAGAAGCAGCAGCGCAAGGTGCCATGTGGGAGCCAGTCCACCAGGGGAGACAGTATAAAAACCAGCTCCCTGTGCAGATCAGCTGCCTGCTGTCCACACTGCTGCCTCTGATACAGAGGCAGCAGCACTGGGTGGCAGCAGCCCGTCCACAGGGGGTCTGAGCTCCACAAACCAGCGTCTGTCTGCAGGGAGCTTGGATCCCCCATGGACAGGGGGTGCTGCTGCAAACCAACCTCTGTCTGTGGGGTGCCGGAGCAGCCTCTGTCCATGGGGAGCTGAGACCCTCTGCAGACAGGGGCTGCTGCTGTGGATCAGCCTCTGTATGCAGCAGACCCAAGCTGCTGAGGACATAGGCTGCTTCATGGTAACCCTCCCAATGTGGCTGCCTATGACAGAGGCAGCAGTGTGGGGGGAGGTGAAGGGGACAGGCGTCATTGCAGAGCTGGTGTGGGGGGGAGGGCCTGGCTTTTAAGCACCACTGGAGCTGATACACCCAGGGAACCTGCTTGAAAGAAGGCTTCCCATGTGTATTATCTCCAGCCTGCCCCCCATCAGAGGCAGCAGCTCCCCGGAAGGGGGGGGGGGGGGAGAGAAGAGGAGGGGTGCTACACACTGACATCCCTAATATTTAGTTTAGAAATTGCTTTCCAGAAACTAGTCCTGGAGGTGCTCGACATGCTTATAAAGTGACAATTTGCAACATTGGCAGTACATTTGTGAACTGAACTTTGGTACTTTATGACATCAAACATTCTTTTTAAAGAATATCTATTATTTTTGCACCAAACATTTATTTTGTATGTTAAAATATATAGTGCAACCTCAATTATTAGTGGTGAGAAATGCTTTTCTTTAAATGGGAGGAGGAGGAACAGGACTTACGCTTTCCCATTTTCCCTCCCCAGTTCTAATGGAGATCCTCCCTAGTACAATATTTTATCCTCATATACATACATAGTATGTTCAGTACTAACTGATAAACACTTGTACAGATGTAAAATGTCTATGCATAAAGAATAGTAACACAACCTGTATATTACATGTATGGGGGAAATTCTGGATGAGATTCCCTAAGAACCTATGATCAAAAGAGTGAAGTTGTAGACCGTGATTAAACCCATCTACAGTCAGATCTACACTGGCAGAGGAAAATCTCTATAAGATATGAATCTCCAGCTATGCAAATTGTGTAGCTGGAGTCGATGTAACTTTCATTGATTTTCTGGGACAGCCTCACAGCATCACCAAGGTTAACGGGGGCACCTTGAGTTCAATTTTGCAGGTCTTTACTAGAGCTGCTAAATCAAACCATGGAAGATTGATAGCCAGAGCATCAATCCTCTAGTAAGTGGAAACATAGCCTACACTCATATTCACAATTAACAGTTAATATATTCAGATCCAAATAGTAAAACAAAGATTTAACAGACTAAAACAGTATCTTTGTATCACGGATGGAAAGTAGTAATCAATGACATACTGTATGCCTGTGTAACTTACCTCTTCAGTGAGCTCCCCAAATACTGACAAAACATCCATCAGGAGACTTGCAGTATAAAAGGACTTTATCATGTTTCTACAAGAAACAAACATCATGCTAACTTTAGTTTCTTATACTGAATATCATTAGTGTCAGATTTTTAAGGTAAGAATTTTGGGGCCTAAAAGTCTCTAGAAATAGATTATTCAATTCACATCTTTAGCTTTTATAATCTTTCACTGAAATTGGGTGACATTTTTTCCCAATGAGTTTAATCTGGACAGACCTACATGAATATTATTTTAATAAGGCAGTTTTAAAATAATAATACAGACTGAAAAAGGAACTATTTGACATTTATTACTATGGCAATATTAAGAATTTTGCTTATTGATGGTGATCTATGAGTTTGGGAGATACTATACACTTAAAAAAAATCACATGATGTAACCTCTCCACTCAAAATTTCTTACCTTTGCTACAAACACTACCTTATTAAAAGGAAAAAAATTAAAGAATTTGAATTTAATGTACTTACCACTGAGTTTTGATGTTTCTTTTAGATTGAGCCATGAAAAATAATTAAATCAGTTTCACTTTTGTTTATAGTCAAATTCACTAACCTTAACTCTGTCATAACATTGTATTATGAAACATCACAGGAAAATGTTTATTTGTTAAAAACAATTGCCACTGAAATTTAAAATAAATGAACATAGTTTAAAAACTTCATAATTCTTGGAATCAGGGATAAATTTAAATTGTTATTGCCTCTAACTCAAAGGCAAAATACATATTTTTCAAAACTAATCTGGTGTTTTTCTGTGTAGATACCAATGTTTAAGACATTCTAATATAGTTTCATAAAAAAATGAGTTATTTTTATTATCCAGAAATACTATACATTAGTCTACATAACTCTGACTTTAGTGATGTGTTATCATAGATATTCCAGTAGTACATCAATGGAAATGCCTTTGATATATTTGATTATGACAATTCAACATTGGCTACAGGTGTCTCTCCCTAGGTCAACATAAGGCTGTTTTCAAAATGAGGTGAATAATTTGCCAATAAGGGGTAGCGACAAACAGATTTAAAAAAAATCACCAAGAGCAACGTGCAGATAAGAACCCTATGTTTCTCCATGAATCAGGAAAGGACAGAGTTTGGATATTTGAGTTTCTGGACCCTAGATTTATTACTTAGGATAGTTAATGAAGGCAAAAAATACTTTTATTCTTCACTTACTTGTGAAATCTCTCAGCTCTATCTTCATTGTCTGCATATAGAAACATTTTCAAAGCATAAGTCTCCACATGGGCACAGCCAACTATTTCCTGAGTAATAGCTTCATTATCACCCAGTTGCTTTTTCATCTGAAGTAAGTTAAAAACATATATCTGGTTATTGACTAGCTTCCAGCAATTGAATAGCAAGGACATAGGATCAATTTGCTAATTCAAAACAATCCAGATGCAATTAAACACAGAAACACGATTAGTAACTTTACATCAGTTTCTTATTATATGACAGAGAAAGGCCTTTTGGGGGGAGAAAATATTATGAACTAGTAGCTTGGAACGATGTGTATTAAGATAAAAGCTTAATGGTCTTTAGAAATATTGAAAGAAATATGCAGATATGCTGTTTTGAGAGAGTATTTAGAGTACTTCATTTTTTCCTCTAGCTGCAAAACCGTATGTTTTGAATTTTGAGTAAGGAATGAACACTACGCAATTCATAATCTAATGTGTGTTTCATAGAATCAGCCTTTTTGTTCTGCTCATTATAGTATTTAATAAAAACGCAGATTTAATGAAAAGGGAGTCCCAGCTGTAACCTGACTGCTCTAATGACCTAAAGATTTACTGGAATGCTCAGTTTAAACAGCGAAGTGCAATTTAAAAGACCTCTTTTCAAAGATGTTACAGAGTACAAGAAGCCTCAGGTTTCCTAATAAAATCCGTAAAGTAAATAACACTGGTACAGTTACAACAGGTGGATGTAGAGCTTCTGAATAGACTTACTGTCTGCATTTAAAAGAAATCTCAGTTTATCCTTACAGAACAAAAAACAGGAATACTAACACACAACTTCTATATTCCCAAAAACTGTAAATGCAACTTTGAATGGTAGGTAGGTTTTTTTTCCCCAAAGTGCACACACATGAACAAAGTTAAATTTTACAGGGCAGAAATCTATAATATTAGGAACATCTACAGTAATGTTAAAAAAAGTACCCAAAAACAGACAATCAAGAGCTTTAGCCCTAAAATATAAATGTTATTGCAAATAATTTTTTTTCTTTACAAAATTAAACTGTAGCACAGCCTGCAGCATGAGATGGCAGCCAGCTCACCAAGAGCAGGACAGGACAGGCAGCCAGAATTGGTGCACACTGGGAGCCAGATTATACCATAGTGTAAGTTGTGGTTAAGCTATTCTGCCTTTAGTGCAAGCCAGCTCCCGGTGCGCACCACCTCCAGCTGCTGGCCCCGCTCTTGGAGAGCTGGCTGTGCTGCAGGCTCTGCATTATAAATCTTATACTGTAGAGCCTGTGGGGCATAAGCCTACTCCCAGGAGCAGGGCCGGAAGCTGGCACTCACTCACAGAAGCATTTAACTGGAATGGATAAGCTGATGCGTATCAGTTAACTGTTTAAACACTTATATCCCTATTATGCAGCATCTGCACTTGATTAAGCATGATAACTGTGTGCACTTCACCATCAATGACAAAGTCTAAGCTATAACATCCACTGAAGCTGAAAAAGCCCTGAGAAATATTTAAGCCAAGACCAGAAAGACCATTTCTGTGCCTCTCCTGTCTAGTGCAAACCAACTGTGCCTATTAACAAATGATCAACACCTCCTTCAAAGAAGCTAAAATGCCAAATTACCTAAAAATGCTAGTCTGTGAAAGCTTAAAAACCATCTGATGCTTAAGAATCTTCCAACTATAGTTGTGTCTCCAGCTCCCCATTCCTAGGCAAAAGAGAGAAAAGGGCAACAATCAACTAACAAAAAAAAACCATCTGCCAACATCCTGGATTCTCCTCAAATGAACTTCAGATTCATGGGTACCCCATGGAGACAACCACAGTAACAAGAAGCACATTTCTTCAGTTATGGTAATGAGTAGAGGTCACATCTCATTGCTCAAATTATCTGACCTTTTTTCAGATATGAACCAAAAGGTGCTATTTGCTTACTTAGCTATCACTGCTGAAATAGATGGTGCTATTGCTCCAATCATTCATTTCCAAGAGTATTCAGAAAGTGGTGATGGGAAGCTGTTCCTCTCCAAGACACCAAAGTTAAACCATTTCCCCTTCTTTTCAGCTTCTACATAAGAATATTTGAAGACGTAGCAAGATTCAACAGGCTCCAACACCAACGTGTCAATTAAACTTTGCTGTATATACCATTTTCCAAACAGAAAAGCTGTTCAAGACTGTCATAATGCCAACAAGACAGGAACTACTGAATAGCTATCTAACTTAGACTTAACTAAGGCAAGTTTGAGGCAGTGCTGTTGTGACATTATATGATGAAAATATCACTACAGGTTGGACCTCCCTGGTCTGGCACCCTCGAGACCTGACTAATCCTGGATGAGGGATTTTGCTGGACCAGGGAAGGTCATTTCTGGGCCCCCTGCTGCTGGCTCCCCACATTCAACCCCCCTCCCCAGGTTTCCTGGCTCCCCCTTCAGCCCAGCTGAGCCATACACTTGCTTCCGGTCCCTGCAAAGCATG